CCATTCTCCCACTTCCCCAGTATTGAACTTTGGTTCTATGCCTTTTCACTCGAGGGTTAGAATTTAAAGGGGATGGCGGATTTTGTACTTGAAATCTTACCAGTATCACATATCTAATTTAAAAATGCAAAAGACCGAAATTCGAAAATGCATGCCAATTTCGCCAATTTAGTTCTAATCGCATTTCCTCCAGAGGGGCGGAATAAGAGTGCAAGTACAAGAGGGGGGGGGGGTGTACCTATATAAATCTATTTAGGTGGACCCCTGCACTCTTGCACTCTTTTTCCCCACTGATGAACCTGTAGGCCTAATCCTAAATTTCCATTTTGATAAAAGTAACATTGAGACTAAGGGCTACTAAGGGATGACTGAAAAATCTTTCCAGGGCATATATCAGTTATCCAAAAAATCAAAATTATAAAGTTTGCATAACATTCACAAGCTATTTCAAGATAGCGGAAAGGTTATTCATTTTGTTTTAGCTATAGCTTGGTTAAAGAGACAAGTTGTAATTGAAGTGACTATCATAAATTCCTGACGAGACTCTGATCTTTGATTTTTTCGATACAACCCTTATAATTACCCCGGGTGTAACATACGCATGCCCTACTTTAATTTGACAGCTTTGAGATTAACAATTTTGTTTTCATACACAGAAAACTAATTTGGTTATTTGTTTAATGCAAATTAATGTATAACAAATTATGAAATACTAAAGATAACGTATAAAATATTAATTATATAAAACACGCAACCGTAAGGCGTAGAGCATGGGTTGGAGAAAAACACGATATAAAATATCATATATTTTATATTTTGTTTACTTCCTATTTTTCCCCCAACCTTGGCCTAGAAGTAGTTTTGTGAATAGTTTTGCCTTTTGACGTTAAGCGTCCAATGAAATCAGTGTATTTAGTGACACTCCCATCGGATTATCGGTTCAAATCTCATGTCGACCAGTTTTATTCCATTTAATCATTTTATAAACATGATGAAGCCCATCATTTACATGTAAAACATCAGATTATGTTCCGGAAGTTACATTGTCTGGATGATGTTAGTACAAAAGTATTACATGTACATATGATTTTTCCCTATCGATATATCTAATTGTTTCAGATCAATGTTTCCGGTTGTTATTTAATTTACTCTCCACAATATCTTTTGGATATATAGGCTCGATTGGTTATGTATATTTATACAATGGTTAACTGACAATGCCTCTGTCTTTTATGTCTACCATGTGTTAACAATTTGCAAGGATCCATTGACCTCTGCAAACAATAATAAAGCTTTTCGAAAAAACTGCTGTACGTGTTGCATTGACTACTTAACAATTTTACATTATTTTCTGTGAGCTATGGCTTATTATATATTGCACAATGTTATTTCATGCCAATGACAAGGTACTGCAAACTGGACGAGGCCGAAGAACTCCCTCCCCCGGGCCTAGCCTTTCAAATATCATAACAACACTTCTCTTCTGTATTCCTTTTAGAGGAGTATTGCGCAGTTTCGGATTGTTATTTGGACAAGTAATTTTTCCCCATAAATAGCAAAATATACGTCTCAAAATATGTCAATAGTCGCAGAAAAATCAGGCCATCAATGTGAGTCGCCATGTTTAACATACGTATACGAAAAGCTGTACTTACGGCTATTCCAATATTTTTTGTCGACGTGCAATGTCTACCTTCAGTAATGGTGCCTGGTAATTTATTCAACGCTAGACTCCTTCATAGCAAAGTAATATTAACCTTACTTTATCGCAAAAACTCACAAAAACTGATTAAAAGCGTAAACATCCATGGTAACATATACTGTCTTTATTTCGATTTTGGTATTTTAAAATAAAGTTGTTTGTGTAGTAAAAATTCCAATGTCAACGGGATGTAAATATTTATGTTTTAATTCTTTTAACGAATGAAATTTAGATGAGCTTAAAATCTGTATTGTCTAGGAGGTCTTTTGAACGTTGCGACGGTGTCATATATAGGTTCAAGGTTTCAATATGTTGATAAACTAAGCATTAGCATAGAAGACCTAATGAGGACAAATCTGCATGGAATTCACTCAGTTTCCGATGTTGCAGACTTGCAGTGCAATGCAAAGTCAAGTAATAAGATCTAATGTAAGACAAAGACGTTTTCAAATAAAAGTCGAATATTGAAATTAGGAAATAACTCTTTAAAATTGAATCTATCTGAATGGAAAATACCCATAGAGAGAATTACTCCGACTATAATATCAGTGATTGGGAATTGCTATGGTATTTGTCCATGCTGCCATGTATGATTTCTTGTCGATCCAATAGTCGTTATCTGGTCCCACCGCCCCCATCTGGTAATAAATGATGTTACGTTACGTCTTTATAACGTGGATGTCATGTCATGGAGGAATTTGGTTACATTAAATATTTTCATTTTTCACCAAAAACAAAGATGTCACGTGATTTGTATCAATATTTACCCATGAGTTAAAGTAACATGCATCTGATTACTGAAGCAAATCAGTCACGATCCAGCGAATCCAATAATTGAGTGAGACCTCTCGATTTAAATAGCAACTAGGACATTCGTTTTCGTCTCTGGACAGGGTAAGGGCCTCGGGAGGGGTTGACAAAACATGGCACGGTGCCATGGCATAACCTATGGCGTTGGCTATGGCACCCCAGTCAAATTCTTGCATATTATATGCCTCGTCTGAGTACAAGTTCAAGCTCAAAAGCCGTTTTTCAAAATGGCCATCGGTTTTAAAATGGCCCGGGCCTGCATTTTAGTGTCAATTTTACTGTATTTTAGAGACACAACATGGCCTATTCCATAGGGTATGCCATATCTTGTACTAATGTGTGGTTAGTACAAAACATGGCACAGTGCCATGGTACGGTGCCATGGCATACCCTATGGCATAGGCTATGGCACCCATGTCGGTGTGGGTATAAAAGGGAGTTTAAGCTAGCATATAAAATCGACACGCCAACCTGTACGTATGATCAATCACCTATATAAATGCATCGCTTAATATTTTTCGTTCACGTTTAGGTTGTGAAAAACATTGCAAGCTTAAACTCCCTAATTTACCATTTACCACATATACATGTTTTGGGAGTATGCAGCCTTGTAGGACTTGATATTAGACTAGTCCTACTCTGTCGGTCAGTACTGAATTAATAATTGAATCTCATTCTATCTTAAACTACGTGAGCCTTTTTTACGAGTCAATGCTATATTTGACTTGTTATGGGTACTACCAGCATGACAAGTGGTCACATGGTTAGTTTCATTGCGCCATGGCACCATGTTGACTCACAGCTGTGTATTGTCTCTTGACAATCGACAGTAATCCATCAAAATAATTGAAAAAATGTAAATAACACCATTCACAATATCATTAAAAGAACAATTTTTGGGATAAAAATTTTGAAGTACATCAATCAATAGAAACATGCTTATTTGTGATGCATAAATAAAATTTTCAACTGCGTACAGGGTAATTGTAACGCCAGGAAATGCTGAAATTTTCCTGAATAACCTTCAAAACTGACGTTTTTTCATTTTTTCTCAAAGTTTCTATTAAATCTAAAAAATGTGAAAAATAAGAAAAAACTCCACTGGGCATAGGATAAAGCAGTTATGTACTGTCAGTTTGGATATGGTGTTTATCCCAAGTGAGATATGCACATCTTCTATACAGTCCCGCAGGTAGATATGCATATCCCTCTGGATAAACCCCATATCCAAAACCGCCCCCAGTAGGCCTACATTGTACATTACCCTTACAGTAAGCTATTACATCTCTCTGTCCAAAAGTTAAAAGTAATTATTTTCTCATATTTATGTTCATTATAAATCCAGAGTTAATTGGAGTTTTAGCGTTTTTTATCGAACCATATCAGAGTTCCGTTCCCGAAAGCCATACGAACCATATTGACCCGGGCCACGTGCATAGCCATGGGGCGGGGGTGAGCGTGCGATGAGTGCGAACGCACTAAGTGATGTATCTTACTCCAAGCGTTCAACTGTCACGCTTAACTTGGTACGGCGAGTTTGGGGATGGGTATGTTGATCAAGTTTATGGATACGGTATCGTTGAACGGAATGAACAGTTGAGAGGTTAAGCTTTGCATATATAATCGAAACTGAACCTGTACGTATCACTCGACCATATACAAATTCATGTAGCCTTCTCATATAAATAGCCGTTCAAATCCAGTGTTTGTTTAGACTACACCATAGCGTGTTATGATTCTATAGTATGTCATTGATGCGGTTTTATAGCTGGTTTTCTAATACATATTTTAAACGAGCTCGTTTCGTTAGATTTTTGGCGCTAAATCATGCATGACATACATCATCGTGTTCAGAAAGAATTCAACTGTGCATCGAAATCAAAATTGACAGCATAGTGTTCAATAGACACGAGTATAATGGTTCCCGTTGACCCAACGTCAAATTTCAAAATCTCCCGTTCTAAACCCGAAACTCTGAAGCTGAAAGAGTATCTGAAGTAGACTAAGCGCGCATAAAACTACGAGCGCTCGATACATTCCTTTGTTAATTTTTGTACTTTGCGTTCACGGTTACGTTGTGAAAAACATCGTTAGCTTAACCTCTCCAGTCACAATTCTAGGGAACTGGTTGGCAAGCCATACACCAATTTATCACGTGATCTATCACATGACACAAAACATGGCGAAATACATGTAAAATGAAAACAATATTTGTAGCAAACTCTGAGTAAATATGGATCAATCTATAATTAACGTTGGACTGTGCTGTTTAGACATCATCAGTATTTGCAATACCTATCCGTTAGAAGATTCTGATCAAAGGTACATTCATTATAGTATGTAATCCTAGCTGTCTATTGAATATTTATCATAGGCTTGTTTCACTTCACAATTCAGTTCAGAATTTTTTGAATTTGTCGACTCAAAAAGACATTGTCATCTACTGTAGTCCACTTGACACAATTAAAGTTGTATCTACGTGACATTTACATTGTAATTTATCTAGTTTATCAAGGGCTATTACCTCAAGGTTTCACGATATAAACTATTCAAAATGATATCCGTTGGACTGTTAGCTCTTGACATCAAAAGCACAGTGGAGTATTATCCGCGGGAAGACACAGGACAGAGGTCAGTATAGCTAGGTAAAACATTCCAGGAGCCCATCATCCAAAAATTTATGAGAGTAACTGGTACATGCTAGTGTAAGCGGACCCCTCATTTTTGGTGACATCATAACTTACAAAGTATGAGTGGGTAGAATGGATTTAGCACTTTTTTCTTTCATGCCTGCTGAATCTGTCAGGAATGAGGACATGGGGAGAAGGTGTCAAAAAACTTGTAGCACTATGATATGAGATGCTTTTTATGTCAGATCTGAGTCATATATGTATATGTATACAATAATGACTCAGCTCTGACATACAGTAAGCATCTAATATTAAAGTGCTACAAGTTCCTGTGAAGTACCCCCCCCCCCCCAAACACATATCTTATAATGTTGTAATCGCATAATTAACAGATATATCAGAGACTCCATGATTTTATAAAGTATAGTTAAAAGATGGACGTGCAGAAAGTCCTTTGTTTTTTAGTTACATGTATCACACTCACAAATTTAAGATCCAACAAGGTATTTTTTGAAAATGTTAAATTTTGTGAAATACTTTCTTCACGATGTAAATAAGCAAAATCTATTTCAGACAGTTATGGTCGTGAAAAAGTGCAATATGCCATTATAGTTTGTGATTGACTGTGTGTTTGTTTTATGAAATGTTGCCTTAATATCATATGAAAAATGTGTATCTGATAAATTGTTCTAACTGTTCATGTTTCAGAGTTATTGATCAAAGGTGGCATAGGGGAGGAAATGCCTCCAACACATCCACTGTTCTTTCTCTACTTGGACATAAATCTGCATTCGTGGGAACAGTGGCAAGGAGCCATGAACTTAGGTACATATCAGTAAATGTTATTAATAACATCTTATTTCAGTATTGTTATTCATAAAATCTTGTCCTCTGTTTACATATCATTGAAAAGAAGCAATTATTTTACAAACAGACTAAACTACATGTAACATGTATAAAAAGAAACAGATTTTAAGAAACAGACTAAAATATTCCAAAATTTAAATGTAAGGAGCTCATAGAAAATAACCATATTACATGTACATTATTGCATTGATTTTTAGTTTTCTTGAGAAGGACTTCAAGAAGTATGATATTAACATTGATCGGGCTATAGTGAAAGCTGACTGCTCTGCACCAACCTCTATATGCATCATCAACCAACAGAATGGATCAAGAACAATTCTGCATCACAACAAGTAGGTACAGGGAAACCATATTAAGTGTATTTTTAGCAAGTACTGTATATGTATTGTACATGTACATTTATATATAGTGAAACATGAATATTGTGATACACTGTACCATACCCCCATACTGTAGCCTGTATCTCTTTAAAAGGAATACAGGCTACAGTGAAGTTGCAAATGGAGGATGTTTATTATGTATTATTATTATGTATTATTACCCAAAAAAAACCATAGACAAAGATAAAGAATACCAGCTCTATTTGGAACTTCACTGTAGCCTGTATCCCTTTTAAATGATGTCACATGGTAGGGTAGAGTCATAGCTTTGGTGGAAAATGTGGCAATAAATAGGTACAGTGTAACAGGAATTTTCTAATTTTGCAGGGACTTACCAGAGCTTAGCTGTGAAGAATTTAAACAGTTTCCATTGGATTCAGGGATAAAATGGATTCATTTTGAGGTAATCATGCATTATCAAATAACACTAGAGAGTAAAATCAAACCATTATAATTCATATGTTTCTCAATTTGTATCTTGGAAAATCTTAAGGACCAGGTAAAAATATCAATGTTTGTTTTTCAGCAGAATTAAATTCTCCCTTCCACCATTCCACTATTCATTAAACGTTTTTGTATTTTTAGTCACATTATCTCAAACCCAATGTCAAATGCTTTTTCTAAAAGAAAACTCTGGTTTTATCAACTGCTCCCCAACTATTGATATAAGATAGAATAATATATACATAATCAGTACATGCACAGGGCACATGTAGTTTGTCTATAATTCTCCTTTAGTTTAAGACATTGTAATTTAAGAAACTGGCTTTACATTCTGTTGAAAAATGATACTCTGAACTAAGACCTGTATAGGCTATTACTGATTGCCATTCTGATGTTGGGTTTGTATTACAGGGACGTCCAAACACTGATCAGATTGTTGGAATGCTTCAACATGTAGAAACATACAATAAATCCCTTGGAGTAAATCAACCCAGAATAGTCACCTCTGTGGAGTTTGAAAAGAAGAGAGAATTTTGTAAGTTGTATAGTTTAATTATGGGATTTTAAGAGAACAATGTAAATGATCAAAATAAAAAAATGTCTATAATATTTTTTATTTAGCACTCATTCCAGTATTCCATTCAGAAGAGTTCAGTCATGATCAGAATTTGTCATGGACCCAATGAATAATTAGCTTACCTTTTAACTTTTTGAGTTTCAACAGCTCTCTGGTAGGAAATCCTCCCTAAAAAGTCCCCCACTGATTGTTTTAGTTTGCTTTTATTTTGTTTTCAACAGATGGCACTAGTACATGTACTTCAATGACTGCACAAATAGCTTTCACAAAATTGTTGTCATTAACAATTTTTTTGGTATCTAAAACTTCAAATAAATCCTGCAGAATACACACACAAAATTGGCCCTTTTCACTAGTTCCTTGGTGAAAACTGGAAAGGGTTATAGAGGTATATATTACTTCTGGACATCATATGCTTTATATGCCTTTATGTTGGCTTTTAGGGATCATATTTCTGCTTTTCACTTCCTCTTAAATGTCAAGGTCATCATCAACAAATCAACTTCTTCAAAATAAAGTCAATTCCAATGACAAAAGGTTTGATTTAATCATGCAGTGTTGTGTACTGAATATTAAAACCTGTCTAATCTAACGCCACCCCAGCCGAAAGTGTTCAGATTGGCAGGTGTTCACATTTCAACACTTTTAAACATGGAAGTAAATTAGCAAATCAAATTAGTATAATGGGATCGGAAAAACAGTTTTATTCATCAAGAGGTATCTAGATTAGTGAGGTGTTGGGATATGCATGTGTACTGTACAGGTTTTACTGTACTTTAGATAAACAAGTTGTTTTTATTATTATGATGAATGAAATGATTTAAGCTAAATTCCGCTTGCCATTTAAACATTTAAACTGTTCCTGATTTATTTGTTTACATTTTTGGTTGAGATTTTTATACAGTGCCAAAATTACCCTGGATGTTACCATATCCATTATTTAACACACAATGTATGATATTATATGATTGATAAATAAAGATTGAAAGGACTCTGTCTCTTACATTAAAGACTCCAAATCCTTTACTAACATTCATTCTTTGACAGCCTGCAACATTCTGCCATCAAACTGAGGAAAAATCTGAATAAGTATTTTCTAGAAAGCACATAGTACATGCACTACCATATTTTAAGACCAGTGTATAATAGAGAGGGTTTGGATCAATCTTGGTGCACTTTAGGATCAGCAATAGGCATCGGGCCCCTCTATGTGACTTTTTGTATGCTGCAATTACCATTTACATTATGTATATAGCCATTATCAAACATCACTGAAATCTCATGGCCATTTGTTTCATTAATCTATGAATTGTTTTATTTTTTTCCTGTCATTAATTGTAGCTCCCATAGAAACCTTCCCAGATTACCTTTTCATCAGTAAGGAACATGCCCAATTTCATGGCCTTAAAAGCAAGGAGCAAGCAGTGGAGTTCTTTGTCAGTAAAATCAAGCCAAGGTTAGTATAGTTCTCATATCCCTTACAGATATCTCAAGCTGTTTATTGTGGCATTTTCAATAATATATTGAATGTAGTGACTTTTGTATTGAATGTACTAATTCACAGGCTGGTATCGAAATATTTGTCCGCTGTGACGGAGCATGCTATTTTTCATAAAAACACTAAGAATACTTCACGATTTACTTTTTAACTAGTATGTTTCGTTATACCATACAAAATTACTTACTCCATGCAATGGATATAACATTTGCGGGTGGCTTTTACTTCTGTTTGAAGTCCAATTACGCTGGGAAGAAAAGCTATTGAAAATAGCGCCGGAGTATCATACTTCAAAATGTACCATATCTTGTTTAACTTTCTAATGGCACGATATAGCGACACGATAATATTTACATATGGTTTTAGCATAACTATGAAGGTATAAATGAGATGTTGATGTATTTGGTCTTTTTAATTCTTTTATAAAAAATATTGTTTAATTTTTCTGTCCGCTGTGATGGAGCAGTTGCAAATGTGAACTGTGAAAATGCTCCGTCACAGAGGACAAAAAATATTAATATTATTTTTTTATAAAAAAAATTAAAAGACCCAATGCATTAATATCTCATTAATACATTCAGAGTTAAGCTGAAAACATATGTTAATATTATCGTGTCACTATATCATGCCATTAAAAAGTTAAAAAAGAAATGGTACATTTTAGAGTTAGATACTCTGGCGCCGTTTTCAATAGATTTTACTCCTAGCGTTATTGGACTTCAAACAGAAGTGGAGGTTACACGCAAATGATATATCCATTGCATGGAGTAAGTAATTATCTTTGATATATAACGAAACATATGAGTTAAAAAATAAATTGTGAAGCATTCTTAGTGTTTTTATGAAAAATAGCATGCTCCGTCACAGCGGACAAATCTTTCGATACCAGCCTGTGTAATTGTTGGAATAAAACAAAAAAATGTGGAATTTTCTACATTAACCCGGCCAAAGGGAGGGGGATACTTAAACAACTCATGAGGGCTACAGTATGTGCCATTCGAAATACTATTATTAGTCATTCATTGATTTGAGTAAAACTTATAAAAACATTATACATTGTATTGTGCTTGAAAAAGTCTGCTAGTATCCATTTGGCATTTATATACTGTTCTAAATGGTTTCAACAGAAATGATGACTTATTTGCTAAAGTGTTGGATGGCATAAGAATATGTATGTCTTACTGGCCAAAGAGGATCACTATAGTGTACATGTTCTGTCACGCTTTATCTACTTGGCCCTGGTCCATGTTGTGTATTTTAAGTGAGAATAACACCTTTCAATATTAATTGTAAAAGATAAATACAAAAACGATAGCTAATTAATTGAAAATTTATATCTACAATTATTAATAGATATCAGGTTTGAATATGAAGTTCACTCAGAGATGTGAACATCTACATGTATGTGTATTTATGGCCATTTAAGAGGGTTGAACTCAGAGTTAATGAATAATCAATGTGTTTGACTACCTTGTTATGTTAAGTGAAAAACATCTACCAATTATACTATAATTCATATGACCTGGCTTTTTGACTCATACATGTACTTCTGATGGAGTGCATAGACACATATTAATGGTTCAAAAGTTTAAAATATATGACTATTGTACACAATTGTATATGACTATTGTACATAACTATTGTACAGTGATGACAAATTTCATGATAAAAGTCCCATGTATATTTGTTGTTTCTAAGATCTAAATCTGTATAAATCAGCTTTATTCTGAAATATTGTGGTGCATAAAACTTTTGATTTGCAGTTTGAAAGCTTTCTGTGTACATGTAGGTTTGAAAATGGTTCAGTCTGGATTTCATAATACAGGGTGGTAAAAAAACAGAAACCCTGCATTTTCAACATATCTTTGTCATTTTGAGAAATTACTCCCTGATATTTCACACATTTGTAAATCATTCAATTCCCTACCACCCTACCATATTTCATGACAATCAGACTGATAAGTCACAATTTTACAGCACTTTGAACAACATGCTTCAGGTTTGGCCATCATCGCGCTGGAGGCAAACCTGCACAGTTGTCAATGATCCAAATGCATTCCTCAGCAGGTATGGCCTGAATGATACAGATGATCTCACTTTTGAGGCCTGCAAGTGTCCTGGGGTCATTATTATACACTCTATCTCTGCCATATCCCCATAGGTTGGGACATTTTGGACGACATGTGCAGGTTGGTCTTCGGCGCAATAATGGCCACCTGGATTGTTCTTTAAAGTGCTGTAACACGGTGACTATCAATCAGATGGTCATAAAATATGGTAGACTGGTAGGAAATTGAGTGATGTACAAATGTGCAAAGTTAATTCTTAAAATAATAAAGATATAAGGTAAAATGGTGTAAGGGTTTCCAGTTTTTTTGACCACCATGTACATGTATAGTGATTTTTATGAAGAAGAGATTTTGTAGCCTTCAATTTCTTAACATCAAAAAGTCATAAGATTGAAAGTTTACTTTCATTTGATATACTACCTGTATGGTACATTGCTATAGAGCAATGAATGAGCAATGAATTCCTCTCAAAATAGACAATAAAGGACGATTCTCGGTTTGGAGAACGAAGTTCATCAACCTAAATGAGCATTATCCCTGCTTCGGACAAATTTGATTTTTTTTACATAACATAGATTTGAATGTCTTCTTTTGAATAGTCATAGTTTAATTTGGGTAATATTTCTAGATTTTTCGCAAAAAAATATGAGCGCAGCACACTGATGAACTTGTTTCCTCAAATCGAGACTTGTATTTTATTGAATCGGTCTAATTGAGCGTTATCCATGCTTCAAACCAAGTTGTTATTTTTACATCTTGTAGATTTAAATGTCTTCTTTTGAATATCCATAATTTAATTTGGGTAATATTTCTATATTTTTCATGAAAAAAATTATTAGCCCAGGAGACTGTTCTCCAAACCGAGAATCGTCCTTTATGTTACTAGTATGTAGAGAAATACCAATTTTGACGTGTTATTCCAGTGCTAGTGTCATATGTGCCTGGAGTGAGGATGGTGCAATTGCCATCACTAAAGACAGCTCACCTGTAACAAGTGCAATATTTCCACCACCTAAAGTCATTGATACTCTTGGAGCTGGAGATACTTTCAATGCAGCAACTATATCAGCTCTCAGTAAGGGACACTCGTTGAAGGATTCTATAACTTATGGATGTAAAATTGCAGGAGCAAAATGTGGTATTGAAGGATTTGATAAACTGAGTGATGTAGTGTCCTTCAATGTAGACACTTCTTAGTTTGGATTTTCCTCATGAATTACATGCTATCATGGTACTGGGATCTTGGTCTTTTGCTACCCAAAATAGCCTGCTGCTTACGGTTTTGAGTAAATAAAATCGACGATATATTCTTTTAAGGTAAAGCTAATCATTGATCTAGCCTTTACCAATCAGAACACTAGGGACAGGGTCGTGACAGCTATTTTTCGGGTCATTTAGGACTTATCAGGAATCAGGATCAAAAATGTATATCTCTTCTATTTTTTTTATTCATAGCCTAATGTACTAGGCCCAAATACCGAGTGTAAAGATTGACTAGGCTTGTTTATTCTCTTATTCAAGAAAAGTATATATGAATATACATGTGCTGTAGGTTGCAGGTTATTAAGGGGCAAATCCCAAATGAGAGCCAAGATTAAGTACCAGGCCCAAGGAGAATAAAAAAGCCCTATAAGCCTTAAGGGACGTGGGGACAAAGTAGCATCAGTTATGATATTAAAATGTGCAATTTTAGAATAAAACATGCAAACCAAATGTGAACCTATGGAATGGAACTGAATGTTTTGTTTTGTTTTTACACGGGCTTTTCTTGAAAGCTCATAGTTTTTAGAAAGGTTTGGAGGATTTTGAAAAAATATGTTTGCATTTATGTAAAGATGTCATCTCAGTATATCCATGTCGCTGAAAATGTATTTCTTCTGCTGCGACATCTTTTATTAATGCTGACAACTTTGAAGACACTGCATGTTTCCAGACTGTCATTTCAAAATCTCTCTTTTTGATTCAGTAGTACATGTAGTTTGTAAGAATCTTGATTCAGCAGATCATTTTAAGTATCTTCCATTCCGTATGTTTAGCAGGTAGTTTTAAGTCTCTTGATTCATCAGGTCGTTTTAAGTCTCTTCAATTATTTGGTTCAGCAGATCTCTCATTGAGAATTGTTTAACCATTTTGTTTATCCCTTGTAATGGAATTCTCGAGCATCGAAGTATTATTGGTGATGAACACTTTTATAGTTGTAATTTTTAGCAGGCCCTTACATGATCCGATGTACATGTATATATATATAGTATCACATTACTGTCACAATAAAAATCTACCTGCTTGCATTAACAATTTTGTAACAGGCTGTTACAGATTACAACGCCAAAAGCAGACACTAAAACAATATCTATCATCAAGTCATTAATGTTGATAAAGTATAAACTTATTTGAAGAACTTAATATAGATACTCAAGGGAATACATGTACGTCTTTACTCTTTACTAATACTATAAAAAAGGATGCCATTTCTAAAAATGCTATGCAAAGTAATTTATAGCCAACGTTTGCAGATTGAATTAACAGAGATAAATGTCATGAAATATTTGAAACTTCAAATGTTCTCAAATATCTGCACTTTAGATTAGTTTTGATCATAGCAAATGTGACATATATTCTTGTATTAGTAATAGAACTTCAAAGTCCCCCTTTGTGCTTACAAGCAATTTGAACATTATGAGAAATAGGACACTTAAAACTCAAAGTATTGTACAGGTAGGATAGTAATTATAATTTCTAATGTGAAAGCGATATGTCATGAGTAGTGCTTTGATATGGTGAATGTAAATACAGAATGCCTAAAAGACCTCATTGAATTTGACACATAACCCAACACTGTCAATTGCCATAAGTTTTCAGTTCCCAATTAACACGCCAGTCTTAACTTTAATAAAAATTGTTTGATTTTCTCAGCCGCTCATCTTACATATCTATATTTTTGGCCATTATAATTTGAGGTTTTATTTGCAAGTGTCCTGATTATGAGAAGTTATTATATAAAACCGCTAGGTGACACGTCGAGCCCCATTACATCGTTGAAGTGTCCTCTGAGTTAACCCGTGAGGAAACCACAGACGATAGCTATAGACAACGCTAATGCTGGTCAGGCCGAGGTGGGCTCCCTACGGCCTACCACAGAACGCATAAGGAACTTCCGAACCAAGAATTTAATTCCAAATCTTTAGTTTCAATAAAACCTACATTCACCACACGGATAATTAATTACATTTTGGAAAGTTTAATTTATATTTGTTTGCAATTCCAGTGAAATATACACGACTTTGGTTACCCTTGCCAAACACTATGGGATTAGTATGTGACCAGTGGTCAAACGGCTGACAACGATCAAGTGCATGCGCTTGTGGGAACAACGAAACTTGTTGCCGGGCGTCCTTATGTCAACACACCCCCGTGTGTAGATCAAGAAACTATTATCCACCTGTTTTATCTATGGTATTTAAAGCCAAATTAGTTCTTGAGCTACCTTTAAAGATGTATGCTGGTTCAAAGAAGTCGCGACTATGGATTAACACGCGCCTTGACAAAACAAACTTCTAACCTAAATTAAATCATTTCTTTAACACAATTGGCGTTTGTTTTGTAAATGTTGATTTCTTTGATACTTTCTTTTGAGATATCCAGATAATTGCGTTTTCTCACCTAATCCCGAGGTAGAATTTTGTGAATGGGTATAGGGATATTTACACTAATGACGTACGTGCTGATATGTTAAAATAGCAAAATACTATTCATTTCTCCATATAGGAACTCTAACGTATTTTTGAGGAACTTTCCCATTGAATCATGACCATTTCATTAACCACGGTAAAAACTTTAACAAAACTAACAAAAACTAAATACAGAAGTCCGAGATGCGAGCATGAGTTTTACTTCTACCGTTTTGAAAGACAAATTATCAAAAGAATTTAAACCAAAATAATATCTTTTGTTTCACTGAAAATTCATATTCCATTTATTTGAAATTTGATAAAATTTTGAATATGATATCAGATTACTAATAACACAGTAATGAAAGCGATGACCAAAACTGCCTTCGAGTTTGTTCTTCTAATGACGGTATCAATTCACCGCATTGGTCACTCTACGTGAATACGGTAAATATTGCCATACTCTCTGCTGGTGCCAATTGTTTAGGGGGATTTCTTCACAACGGTGGTTCCATTCATCACCGTTTAGTAGCGCATAAATCTTTTCTCTTCATTGTCTACCATACGCTTGACCATATTTCTATTTGACAATTTGTTTTTTTCAATAAGTTTTTTTTCAATTCAAACAAATTTATAATATTTTAGATTCTAAGGAATATAAACATAAAATGTTGATGAATTGTTTCAGAAACAGCAGGGCATATTTTAATTAGAAAACATATTTGCCCATTCGAACAGGAATAATTAAATTATTCAAAAGGCCTTTTTACAGAAATCGTCCCAACTAAATGAGCAATGCTGAACGGCATCATTGGAGACTTTTTCATTTCGATAAAAGCAAGTTTTCCGATTAATTATGCCTTTCCGTTTGACCATAATCTAGTATGAGATCGCCGATTCCATAAATTTAGCCTTTGTAGGTCATACAGCGTACCCAAAATGAACTCCAGTCATATTATTTGTACAAAGGAGGCGGTCCCACAAGTCACAGTTCCTTCACTGGTTACATATGTTTTCATATGAACGCTTAGATCCTTTCATGATAATGTGACAATAATTAGAAAGCGCGCGCCATCCACGATTTCAGCTGGTGTCAAAGAATGCCTAAAGGGTGACATTACATCATCTGTCGTGAGTTGGTGCCGTTTGAGGCTAATTATCTTAGATATGACATTCAGATTTACCCGAGGTGAGTATCTGTGGACGATGATCAATCATAAGTTTGACGTAGCAATTGTACCGTGACATAATTTTACTTTGTTACATCGGACCATTCAAACGTTTTAAAGAAATGACCGGTTTTGATTTGTATATATGTTTCCAATGGTTTCATGAAATATAGCCGAGAGTGGCCGAGAGTCACTAGTGTAAGTTTCGAAAAAATGTCACAACTTCTGCTCTCATTATTCCATGTCATCCCATTCTGATTTATCAGAGCCCCTACCTAATTACGATGGGAGAGATGTATTTCAACGGATAATTCAAGCTGTGGATCCCACAATGATCATCCCTATATCCACAAACCTTGAAACAATGGGAGAGATGTATTCCAACGGATAATTCAAGCTGTGGATCCCACAAGGATCATCCCTATATCCACAAACCTTCGATTTTGAAGGTTATCTGCCAAAAATGAAAACCTTAGATTCAATAACAATTATATTGATTAGCTATATCTCAATTTTTTTTTAGAAAATAGAATAAGGATTGCTTTTTGAAAATATTACTTCCATCATTTTACATGTTCTGTTCCTGAACTACTTTTTTACTGTGCTGTTTGGACTGGTCAAGGTTCAAACACACTGGTTAGGAAACAAAAAGACCAACGAACGCGTTAAAACCTTTATATAGTGATACATTTCTCCATCTTGATTCACAAGACATCTTGATTTTGTTAGCTCTGTCTAATCAACAAAACTTTGACATTTCGTGTGAATTCGAGAAAATGTAAGATTGTAAACACACGAAAAATGTCATAATTTGACAAGATGTGATGTATCATGTTAATGATTACGATGTTTGTTAATTTCCCACACGGAATCTCATTTGGGCGGATCTGTGAGGTGGAGGTTTACTCGACGAACGCACTATTCAAATGTTAGATGTCCAACTAATGCATCTCTATTCATATTCTGAGACAAATCTTCAATATTTTATTGCTACTTCTGCGTGACTGTCAATAAATTCCAAGTGAATTAATTCCTCGACCGTGTGATAATGCTTTGTTTACACATATGAAAGGGGTGTTTAATTTGGCTCATAGAAATCGAGCTGCTCTTGCTGAATTCAAAGAGGCGGAATCATTGGCCGATCATAGACAAATTCAGTCGAATAAAAGTCGCATCAACTTTAAATTAGAAATGATAATCGTGTTATTATAGGAAGTCATCGGTGTCTAAAGCAAGCCAGGTGTGGTTACCTGTTAAGTTGGCACGTTATTGTGTGGTACTTGTCACTTTTCACACAGCCTCTTCGTTCAACTTCATTCAATGTGCGGATGTTTTGTAAATATATTCATAAGTGGACCATATGGTTGTAATTATCACTTATAATACTCATATATTGCCATATTTGTTGAAATAAATCAAAGTTTCAAACAACTTGTTTAGTAATATCACCACATCTAAAAGTGCTTAACTCATATATATGCTATCATGACTGGTCACCGTTGGGGAGCCCGTAGAGCCGAGGCCCAGGAATACGTTAAAAAATGTTTAAAAAGTCCCCTAGTGTACTGAGTTGGTAATGCATGGTGTACATGTATATTATATCTTTTACTATAGAATACTTACATGTATAAGAATAAGACTGATTTTTTATTAATTACTAAAGTAATATATATATATACCTGGGCCTCAGCCGTAGAGAGTGGTGGTTGAGAGGTGGGGGGGGGAGTACGAAAGGCCAGGTGTAAAAGGGTAGGAGGTCCTATCAAATTATGGTCCTACTTTCCATTGATTTATATGGTGACCTAAATACAACTCTTTCCCTTATTATCGTATCCACAATCAGGGCCAGTAAGGGTTAAGAAAGGGGACCATAATCCCCAGGGGACCATAATTTCTTTTACACCGGTCAGGAAAACAGCTGGGAAAGGTTCGCGCTCCATCTCTTACAATAGCTAACTTGATATATTGTACAGTATAGACTCGCTTATATCTTGTTTAGCTATGAATAAAAACTAATTTTTCAATCATTAATTTATCCAAAAGAACATTTATCTAGAATAGACGATTATTTATGACGAGAGAAAGCAAATCGAAAACAGAACTTCTTCATCATCAAAGACAACGTATCAATGGATGATGATTTTACGATCAGTAGTTTAGACAGTCCAATGATATCAGACACATAAAGTCTTATAGCCTTGGTATTGATGGCCATGTGGTCCTTCTAAAAGAGAAGATAAATTTGCACGCCTGTCATCACATCACATTGTTGTATTTTAAGATTTACTCTTTGGGAGTGGCGTGTTGATACTCTTTGTCAACCTCTATTTATATAAAAACAAATGCATCAATTGATGTAAAAATATTTTAATTAATTTCCTTGACCAACCAATTTCTAATTTCTGCAACACGTGCGAAGTAGGTAAAATGTAAAATTAATTCGTTCTTTGCCTTTTCACCAAGTTGTTTAGTCGCATCTTTAAAATGCATATAATTTACATCCTATAAAGTCACTTCGTGTTTTTCATTTGAGTACTTATCTACAAAAGGTTAAAGAAATTGATTTTCAAGTTGGCAGCTGATTTCAGTGCCTATCTTCTCAACTACGACTAATGCTTTGGTTTACAATTATATGAAATTTTACATCGGATTCATAATATTTTCTGTAATGTACCCGTCTCTGAATTCTAGGGACGTTTATAGTCATACGTACAAGTTTATGCAACTGAGACATATTGAATATCTATGCATGTTACTTGCTTGGAAATCTTTTAGAAAGAAGACTCTTCATCCCAGGGTATACCCACTGTTTCTTTTTAAACGGTCCGCCTTCATAGTTCTTCAGACACACATACTTATACAGTAGAATTGATTAAAAAGCAATATGCCACAGATTGTTAAAACTTCTTATACTTGCCAAAGTAACCCCGTGTACTATTTCTTCAATATAAGACAAATCGTTTTCTATCAGTTGAACAAACAATCAATACAAACATATTATAAGTTATTTCTTTCAGTGTATTGGTGCGAGATAATCGAGAGGTACTTGCAGGTATAGGTTTCTAAAGCCAAAACGTTGGTTTAACGCTACATTTAAGCATCTTTGTACAGAAAATATACACTTTCATTGCCTCGAGATATTCTATGCATGATAGATACACCTGGTCAATTTCAAATAAGGAAATGCGTTTTAATTGATGAAATTATTATTTTATTTTTTCTATTTAATAGGATATTTTTAATAAGAAGTGTCACGTATATGTTAACGATATCCTGTAACAAATCTAATTTGATTTACTCAAGAAGTGCTGGAGCGAAGACTCGTGAGCAAACAGATTGCATTGAGCAGTGAAGCCTGGTCTGTCATTGATCGACATTCCGATACCCATCCATTCTTGTTTCTACTTCTGTTTTGCAACATTTTAGGACCGAAAAGAAAACGAGGTGACATAGCCACCCATCATTTGATCGGTACCATTTGATCTAAACCTATCAACAGTTGAGGGATTTCTGTGTTCGAAAGTAGTTTGGGTTGTTGGGGCTTTCTGTTTTCCTTATGACTGGTATTTCCTTTTGATGTTTCTCGCTATGTCTAGTTATCTTTTGGACATTCCAGTTTGGCATTTATTACATATCTGCATGACTTAATCAATATTCGTGAAAGCATTCGTATTGGAGCAAGTTAATCAATTGTTTCTAAGGGTACATATATCTTCTCTTTTCATGAAAATCTGGATAGAATTTGTTTGAATTCTTGACTTCTATTTCATGACCACTTTTCAATATCAGGTTCTTCGTGTTATAGCAGCATCTGTAAAGAACCAAATACAAATATGCTTTTTAATGTATCTGGGAGAGATACTTTACATATAAGCATATTGTATGTACGCTTATGCCTGGGTCACATAGCCGCCGGGCGCCGGCCGATGAGTAGTCATCGGCCGATTTATAAATCGACCGGGCGCCGGTGACTTTTCACCGATGTCTTGATCTAATCGTGAGTATGGTCACATTAGAACAGGCATCGTGCGGCGCCCGCAATCAATTGAATCTGAAAGACATCGCAAGGGTATCGCAAGGCTATCGGCCGATGGCCGTACGGAACCCGCCAGGACATCGGTCGATTTACAGGCCTCTAGATTTATACTTAATCCCTGTATGACCCAGTATGACTGTTCCACATGGCGTGAATGCAACATTTGAAAACGAAATACTTTGATAAACAGGACTTCCAGGATAATAATGTTTTCATGCAATAAAAATCAGAAAAAGAAGATCCTCTTTTGAGTAAATAGGTTCAATATTTAGAAAAAATGTTGACATGGGGTCCCTATTCATCATTTTTCGAATTGTTTGATTGATATTTTTATCATCATGGGTACTTCAATTGAAAGAAAACATATTGTTTTAATAAAAACACTCTATTTGTGCCCAGAAGGTACTCATGGTGAAAGATATGACCGTCTAAAATCACTTGCCATACTGGACGTGGTCTTTTCATCAAAGTGCACCCTGATCTTAATTCATTTTTAGATCTTTCATATAAAAAAATACTATGTCTACCTGTCCATCCGATGCTATTAGCAAAATTCCCTATTTCTCCATCTTTCTTTCGTCTGTTCTTGTAAAGAGAATTAGTTTGGTCATAAAAATATGGCTTCAAAGAAATTGGCATATTTCTTCTGTTTCAAGTGGAGTACCCGCTTCCCTATAGACACATCTAAATCTTCATCATCCACCAGCTCAGTAGCATTGTTATTGTCTTTTTCCACCTGTCTTCCCAAGGCCTTCCTCATGGCCCATTGGCCTTATCCCCTCTATCCTTAGCCTTTGGCATATTACGTTGTAATTGAGACGTAATTAATCGTAGTAAAATTGTGACCCTTGAAATTACTGTACTCACAAAAACATTCCGAAGGTTTTTAAAATAAATGATTTGTAATGGTATATGCATGAGTGAATATACGCATAAAAATGTAACACTCTATTCAATGTGTATGACAGACATACACGATTAATGTCAATATAAGAACGACTAGATCAACCCACCCACCCAGCCATTCAAATGTGTGCCATTGTTTTATATACAGTAAGCTTAATCGTTCCATTTATGTTTTATAAAAATCTCTGACAGTGTGTAGTATTTATAATTCCTTACCTCATTATTTTTAAAACCTTTATATCACTTAATAAGTAATCATTATTAAGATTTATCCAACAAATCAGCACGCAAAATCCAAAGATGACCGTGCGATGCCACCGGGCGCCGTAAGATAATCGTACGATGATCGGGCGGGACACGGCCGGGTAGGTACCGATGAGTTTGGATGAGAAAAAATCGCCAAAACATCGGCAACTTTTATCTCCGCGATAAAACTCTGCCGGCGCCCGTACGATGTCTAAAAATCGGCCGATGAGTGGCGATCATCGCCCGGCGCCCGTACGATGCCCGGGCTCGCCGGCCGATTTTGAACAAAATACTCATCGGCCGGGCGCCGCAGTGAAAATCGGAGCCTATGTGACCAAGGCATTACGTGGGTACATGCTCAGAACACACATCCCACTTTTTGTCCCGGCCAGAGTCTTAGTCCAGGCAGAGATACAACCGTTTTATATGTCTCTTGTCCAGGATTATATGAAATCTGGGCGTAATTCACGGGATTTTTATTGAGATTTTCGCTATGGTGGAATATATTTATCTCAGTTGATGTGGGTCTAAGTGATATATCTGAAGTACTTGAGAGAGAATGGGGTCAAACGAGCATTAACAATGTCTTTCAATCATAACTGAAGCTGGATGTTTTCTTTGTAAACAAGAAAACATCATAGAATTACCGGTATATGACTTCATAGTTAAATGTAATTGAAGGGAAGTCCTAAAAATTATATTTTCTTTTTTTCCCGTTGGGCATAAATAACGTTTATATCAGAAATTAATTATCTCAACTTTACTTTTTCGAATGTTTCGGCGAGGGGTTCTTTAATACATGTAGACACGGTTACGCTTAAAGGTCCCTAAAATTATAAATCAATTTGCAAACAAACATAATTTTTTTATTATTTTTATTTGATTTATTCCTGTATCAATGTTTAACAATTACAAAGTATGAACATACATTTCTATAACTGTGTTTAGATTTACATTCGTCCCCTTTCAACGTGTTTGATTTCAACAGGTTGCTGTGTTTGTACTATTTGTTCCCTAGATGTTATTGACATTTCTTGATACAATATACAACTCCGTGTTTGACTTTGGTAATGATAACCCTCGAATACAAAGGACTGAGCAAATTAGCCTTGTAGATGAATCCCAAATTATTCCTTACACAAATATATCTGATCCAAAATGCAATTCATGAGATGAGAAACAAACGACCTCGGTTTGCAAACTGGCTTTGACTTCAAAGCTGCTCAAAAGTCATATTTACCAGATTCCTTTATAATCCCTTGCAGATTAAAACCCGCATATCATAAATATGAGTTCATTTGCTCAACCCAACGTTTTTACTATCAAATAATAATCAGTTTTGAAATTAAGAATTTCAACATCTTGATTATCAGGAAACCTTGACAACAATACACTATAATTAATTGATGCTTAGGATCGCGATCATTTCTTTTTGATAAACAGAGTATGGGCAATATGTGTATTGCTACTATGTTAAACTCAAATAACGAATCGAACATGTTGTTGAACATTTAAAAAGTTACCAGTTAATTATCTAAATTCAGCAGTGCAACTGTCAGCAGCGGTTGAGTATATTATATATGTCACTGTTATCCTACCAAGGTCTCCACATGTCGCTGTCATAAGACGCTTTACCCGCAACATCAGCAGGAGCAGGGAATCGCTGATTATGATCAGATGTATCAGTGTTATTTTTAACAGTGATCCCACCGTCAAGTTTATTTTCTCGTACACTGATAGATGCTTGAGTGTCCATTGGAGCAAACTCGATGGTATCAGCCCGTTTCGGGCTACTGTGTTGAATAGGGCCGCTATTAGCAAATGTTGCATATAAGGGTATGCTGAGACAATTAGTACCATTTAGAAAATTGCTTGGAATTACAATTGCCAAGTTTCCATTCTGAGCTGGGGTCATAATTTGCACTCCTTGTGGCATTGTCTGTATGGCTAATGGGTGTGTAGGTGTGGATAAACGTGGCGCTGGTAACGGACCCAACGTTGGGACGTAACCCAGGGTGCTATTCTGAACGGTTTGTTCATTGAACCTCGCATTTGGTTCATTATGTTGTTCTCGCCTGGAAGGATATTTATGCTTTAATAAAGAATCTGTTTCCTTTTGTGGATTGGATGCCTCCAGGCTTTGACTGAGATATTGCGAACTTGAAACATCATCAAGTTTGATCATCTTCATATGTGGTTCAGATAATGGAGGTGACGACTGCGATGTCATTACAGTGCTCATATGATCCATTACATGTGGCATGGTAGGGTGAGGACTGGACGAGTGGACGTCACCATCGTGAGAGCTTGAGTTCTGAACATGGATAGTGTTCGCTAAATGTGTTAAAAGTCTTGTTCTTAGTTCGAGGTCGACCCCATTCCCTGTGTTGGAGAGAACGTTGGACAACTGGCTGGCACATTCGTTGTAGCCAGCGTGAAATTTGGCCATTTGTGTAGGCTCTGTGCTCCCTGAAATAAATCAGCACAATTTAAATGTACATGTATCAATCTGTTATTTATTTGGCATATACCTATCTGGTGCAACATCGTTTCCTGTTTTGAATCCATTATAATTGTCTGTTCATTGGTTTTGAGAACAATTACATGAATGCCTGGCCATTGTTACCCCGAGCAAAGGTAATCCCAAGTATTAACAATTGATGTAAAGCCTCATTGAACAGTTTATCAAATGTAAATTGGAATACCACCATGGTTTCACCAACCGTAAAGATCTACCAGGCAGACAAAGGGTGGCATATTTAATACCTATTATAAGGTGAATATCACTGTATTAAATTTTCTTCTGACAATAGAATCCTCCATTCAAGACTTGGCAATTATAACTCAAAAGACAATGTTTGAATCTCATAACTGGACTCTGTCATTTACTGCCACGTGTGGTATGGAATCACAAGTATTTACATTTACAATAGTCATTTGGGTATTACATTTCATCCGCGTGCCAACATAGATTTGAACTTGATAAATTTTCCACTTTAAAATATAATTTAATATCCTTAATGAATAATAATTCAGTAGGCTAGTCAATTTTGTCAACATTTCACATTACAACAGGAACCAACCAAGTTGAAGTTGTAAAACCAGTGCTGCCCTTTGCATTCATTTTTGCTCCAATATTTCCCCGGGCTCCACCAAATGATAATGGGTCTTGTGTTATATTAGTTGTAGATATATTAACTATCTTTATATTTTGCATATGAATAAAGCTATTGCTTATTCAGGTGCAATGGCAAAACACATTCATTGAACAGGGGAGTAGTCAGCAATTGTCAAGTGGGTAACTTGTTACATTTTCAACAACATTTATATAATTGCATTTTCTCTTTTTGTGGGGGTGAGGTGATCGCACCTATCGCACCCGCCTGGCTACGCCCATGTTGAAAATTTACAAAAACTTGCCCATAAGAAAATAACGCTTAAAAACAGTTAATTAGAAGTAGATGGGTTGAAACGAAAACCAATTGTTTTCATCCAATGCATAACCCTCAGAGGCAGGAGTCAAGACTGACATTATTCACTGAGTTCCTTCAGTGAATGATATCTGGGTTCCTGCACTTGGAGGAAGTCAAAAACAAGGGCATGAATGGGAGTATAAACACACGAGTAACTTGACCATGGGAAAAAGAAATGTTGATTAATACTTAACACACATTAGCATTAAGCAATGGCATGGTATAAATACGTATTATACGGAAGAGAAAGGAAGACACTATTCTTATGTATGTTTGGTATGCTGGGGATTCATGTCCTCATGACTGATTGTCCCTGATTGTTCCCTTTACGTGGTCATTTTCTTTTTATTGATCTAACCCTTGTAGCACTAGTTCTTATAAACGTTTGCAGTATAGGGAACTTACCGGAATATTGCTGCCTTTGCAGCTGACGCAGATGTCGTACAGTCATCTCTAGGATGTCGGCCTTCTCCATCTTCGAATGACGGCTCCCCTACAAAAGAATAGACACCCTACGGTGAGTGATGATTATGTTCGCTAAAATATACTGATGAATGAATTGCAACACCGTAAAACACACATAGATGAAAGGAGTTGCCAAATATGAAATATGACTTTGTACAGGTTATGTTCTTTGTAATAAAATAAGTGCAGATGATACTTGTTTTAATAAAATTCGAGCCGTTATATCTTTCTAGAGTTTCACATGTGGTTAATTCAGACGACACATTAAATTAAGTTTCACACGGCAAGGTAGAGATGAATCAGCATGAAACGTAAAAACTATTAATCCTACAACAAGAAAATTTCGTTGAAAGTATACTTCATTAAAATCATATCTCTTAAATTACTGTCAAGTTAACAAACAAAAAGGTTGTGGGAAAGTTTACTTAAACAACTGAGCCATCAAATCTAGCAATTTATGATAGGGTCGATATGAAAGGATGATGCGAGTGTGTAGACAGGTTGCGTTCCAAGGTTCAATGGCGGGCTCTTTACGTTTTTTGCCCGGATCACTTGATAAATTGCTTGCTTTTTTATAGGCTTATTCACGTCCCAACCCTCATGCGCCTTGTAGACTCATGAAAACGTCTGCTTGTAATATATCGCACCAAACTCAAGCTCACGGATCCCCATCGCAACTTAACATTCGGATTCTTGACAAGTATTACATCTGAATCAAAATCAGTTATACTTATTCTTTGTTATTGAATAGACTTAACTTGAAAGAGCTACCGACAAGGATACAGACCGGATACAGACGAGTAAACGACATTATTTCATGATGCATTGATTATTTAGCTATACCTTTGAAAAATTGAACGTTCCTTGTTTTCATTTCTTATGCATATGAACATTACTGTACCGTCTTCAATATCTTAAACATTTATTCGATTTTCTTTATTCTAGGGGAAACATGCTTTTGAAAAAAAATTAAACAACATTTAGCACTCTATATTCTTTGCTACCGCCTAAGGGAATAGCCTTTGCGAAGCCGCCTCTTGATAACTAAACATACGTTTGCCGTATGGTGGTGTAATACAGTCAGCAAAAAGGGCCGGGTGGGTGGTAAAAAATTGGATGACTAAGGATAAGATGCAAGTTTTTACCTCTGTTTTCATGAAATCGATAAGAAGTGCCTTTAGTTCCGCTAGACTGGCGTTGATTCGTGCCCTACGTCTCTTCTCCATCATTGGCTTATTACTCTATAAACAATTAAAAACATCATTTTTACTTCAACTGGTGATAATTAGATTCAAATACATTTTTTGTTACTTTCTAAATGTTATTGACAATAGTTAAAATAGTAAAACTAGTTAAATATGACGTCCAAGAGCAATTACAGAAATGTACATGTAAAAGATTCATTTGTTTTTTTATTTATTATTTATTGGTGAAACTGAAATATAAACGTACACTTTGAATGTTCCGTATACTAAAAGCTTTGGACATAATTATATATAAAAATGTAGAACACATATTAAGTATATTAATCTTAATTATAAATGTAACAAAAATATATTTACTCTTTTGTCACTTGCTAATGTTTCCATGGCTTCTTCTGGCGTCATGTCTTATCGTGACGTTCAGCTTTCTTAATCCTACAAGTTCTTAATTCAGGATGATGCCTATTGGTGGCGCTAGCGTGCTCTTGTCCCGATGACTACGGGTGATAGTGTGTGACGGAATGCCGCTTGATAAATGACATCGTTCTAAGCACACGTAGATTATAAACACCGTGCGCCGAGGATGTCGTGGGAAAATCGCTTATGTTTAAACAGGCATACGAACATACCTATACAAGTGGCCAATCAGCGACCGCTATTTCAATAAAGTACCTCACGACAAAAGTAGACGCTGAATCTAAATGATATATTTAGAAATGAGCTGATCAACTTGGAAAAATATGTTTATTTTCTCGTTCTGTATGTAAATTGTATTGTTCAGTAAGTTACATCTGATACTTTTAGAATTACGTAACTATTGGCAAACATTGTTTCCGACTAGTGAACGCTGGTAGTACTGGCAAGCTACATGGGTATTATGCTTGCGCACGTGCCAGAGTATTCCAACAGTGTGGGAAAACGGATACTATTTGGTATCAACTGTTGCACCTGTGGTCGTGAATCACGGAAACTGTTATTCTAACCCAGAAATCCTTACATATGAAAATGTATTAAGCTAACAATCCTTAAATATTCATATGTAATTAACTTGTATATGAAAAATTAATCAGCTGACATTTGAAAATGTCGGGGAAATGTATTAAAGAAATCCTAACGTATAAAAAACGCATGTATGAAAATATAATTAACTAGTACATAAGAATGTAATTAGCAAGAAATTCTTACATGTGAAAATATACTTACATATGAAAATGTAATTAGCTAGCAAGATCCTTACATATGAAAGTATAATTAACTTACCATCCCCTCCATAAGTTTGGTAGTCGGGAGTTTCCATTAGATAGAATATCATGCAGAGCCTAACATTGTTTGGGTTATTACAGTATCGGAAGTTTATGACAAATCTGGAATATTACCTCGTACATAAACAGGGTTTTGATTTCGTGATCCAAAATGGAATTTCCTGTTACCAAACTTATGGAGGGGATTGTAAGTTAATTATATTTTCATATGAAACTTATGAACATGTAATTAGCTAGCAGTTGTTACATTTCAAAATTTGATTAACTTACATATGAAAATGTTGTTAGCTAGGCTAGTAATCCTTACATTTGGAAACACAATTAACTTATGTAATGAGCTAACAATCCTGACATATTAAAATATAATAAACTTACGTAGTCCATATAACGTAATAAGCAAGCACCTTCTTTGACATACCTATTTTCTTAAAATGTATGTGTTGTATAAACTATCAATTTCAGCATAAAGAAGTGTAAATTCAGTTCAAAGCTTCTATAAAGGGAGTCTCACTTATAGATTTTTAAGATCCACCGCGTTTCAAGAGGAATATCAGCTAAATTAATGTTCATCAAGGGGTTTTCTTTGTATATAATGAAAATATATGTTAGTCTTGATGAAATATCCAAACTCAAATATATTTTGACACTGGTCGATGATCGTTGAATGCCACCCCCCTGCACTAACTGTTGCACCTTAATATGAATTGTAGTTTTTAATAATTAATGTATGAAAAAAAGTATTTTATACATACACATAATTGTGTTGATTTCATCAATATTCGGATTTGGTTTCGGCCCAATTTGGTTGGACTTATTACAAAAATTTAAAAGAAAAATATGAAGGTGGAACATCGAAATGACACACACTTTATTTAATGGTAATATTCTAATGGTAGAACAAACATTCAGGAATATGGGAGATGAAAACCCCTACGTTATCCAACGTCATTTAGTCCCAAGTTTACCCTGCGTGCAGAGTCTAGTTAAACTACAAGAAGACGAAGCTCTCTTTTAAGAAGTGAAGTCAAACGAATGCAAAGAGTATCCCAAGTTGCCCCCTGGAGCTGAAACTCCTGGTATCTCGTTGATTGTTGTATCCCCGCTAAGTCGTTAATAAGCAATATATATAGTGCACATGAATGAACAATATCTTACACTTAACACCACAAGACGGAAATGAACGTATGGAGTAAATTAACGTTTATATGTACTCATGAAACATGATCAAAGTATTATACGTAATATACATAGATGTATATATTTCACTATTTAGAAAAATGTACACATTTTAAAATCTGTAAGTAGTAGATTAGAAGTAATCTTAGATAGTGAGCCATCTCGTCTCTGATCCTTTTTGCACGTGCGTGGTGGAGATTACATGAGCATATACAATTTAATTACAAGAAGTATAGTTTAGTATTCTAATCGCATGCATTTATTGCGAGTGTTCTTGCTTCATGAGTATGTCAACGCCCTATGGCGAAAATATTTTATGCGCAACTATGGTCAAATTTATGAAGTGGACTGTTGTCCCGAAAACACAATTAGTCCCTGATCTGGTTTTTCTAGAGCTCTAGATAAGGAACCTGTTGTTCGGGTGTCCTCCACAAAAACCAACTACTACCTAGTACACTAGTGTTCCTACAAATATGATATACACTAGGTTATGTTACATTTTCCCGGTAACAGGGAGTTTCACTTAGAAAATGAGGATTTGAGCAAGGCTATATTGACTTACCATGGGGATATGCACTATTGACTTAATATGGGGATATCATGATTATATTCCAAAGTAATCATATTTATTTGGCTAACGTTTTTGTTACCCTGTACCTTTTATACATGTCACAATACCTTTTCAAGCATTATACGGTTTTTGTTACTTAAAACATATTGACAAAGTACTTAATTTTATGAAAATCAATTGATATCATAATTGAAATGCAGTTATGTTGTGGCAAAATGTAAAAAATATATATACTAAAAGTTGTTTTGAGAAGGTTTTTAGATACCATTTGCATTCGTTTGACTTCACTTCTTAAAAGAGAGCTTCGTCTTCGTGTAGTTTAACTAGACTCTGCGCGCAGGGTAGTTTTTAGAAGGATTTTAGAGGCAAAAGCCCCTGTTACAATCAAAACGAACTATAATTTCTTAATAAAAGGGAAGTCAGTACTTTGAAATGATGTGTTCATTTTTTGTGGCAGAGTACCGGTCAACGAAACTTCATTTTTCTCTGAGCAAGTTAGGGACTACTGTAAATCACTTTTGTATTATATCTTATATCGGTTTCTTGTATTCTGATTTATTAGTCTCTCATCTAAAGGTTATGTCTCTATTCCAGACGTGTCGCAAAAAGCTCGCGCACGCATTGTTACACATTTTGTGGCGTAATCCAGAGGATCCTCGCTTTTAACATGATAGAATGTGACGTTTTTGAGAAAAATGTACACACATGAAAATCCTTTCGTCCTCCACATTTACCTCTATATCTCAAAACCTTTTAGACGAATAACTCTGATATCATATATATATTGTTAATGGGCTAGGAGCATCATAAAACACGAATCAATTGATATTTTAGGTGAAATAAATATACGTGTTGCTGTGCTTGAAAATAGGCGAATGGCGTAAATTAGCCCTATTTTAATGAATTTTGAAAACCTTTCGTCCTCCACTTTTCCACATACAACAGAAAACACATACTTTTGTGAACAAAATCAACTATTTATTAATAAACTAGAGTTTAGGAGCAAAATAATCATGTATGATTATTAAAAATTGATCTCGTATTTTTTGTTTAATGTACACCTGAAAAGTTGAAGGTACCAAAAAATGAGCAAGAAAGGTCGCTGTCAACAGATTCTATTTTTCAGACTCTATGACGTCACAATATAATGGGACGCTTACTAAAATTCATCCTTTGAAATAAAACTTCCATCTACCTTTATCAAGACGAAAAATAAGTATAATAGTCATATATTGTTTGAGTTATGAACGTTTAAAGACGAAAAATAATTCAAAATGTAACGTGTCAACATGGGATATTTGCCAGATGTTTTGGTAAAAAAATCTTTTTTAAAAACGAACACGCAAAAAATGTGAACGGAGTGTAGTTGATCTAAAATCTTCATCGAAACAGCTTTAAAATGATATATAACTTTAATTAAAATATTATCTTATAATCCGGGGAATCAAAGTTACATTCACGCGATACCCTTAAAAACAAATGCGCCACCTTTTTGCGACACGTCCAAGCGATAGTACAGACTGAGGATCCCACAATGGGTTCCATGCACTTTAACTTGTTTTTGAGCTATGTCCCCTGACATAAAAGCATGCAACAAATAGTTGTTCTAAAAGGTTTTAAAGTGCATACTCCATGATCTTCCATAAAGTTGATCATTATGGTATGCTCGATGAATGACGGTCATATTAACGTAAAATATAATTCCAAATTGCACGATTCACATTCTCAGAACTCTTGAAATACAAAAGAAAATCAAACAAATGTCAATATTATGACCAAAAACGGAACAATTATATTTTGCAGGTGCCAGTGAGCTGAGTACCTCTCCAGCTATGACGAATGATTACATACGTTTATTTGATGATACATGGTCCGTGTAGTCAACACCAATAGATCAAACCCCATATGACAGATGGACGACCCATTGGCGATTACTCAATATGGGACAATAAGGTAGGCTCAATATGGGAATATACCACCAATTGAACTCAATGATATAGTCAGACCTACTGGGAGCCACGCGACATTAAAGTGCCGAAGATTCAGTATTTTATAAAGATATATCTATTATAATTTCAAATTTCTTTCATCGGTATATAATTATTGGTTTGGATGATGAGAATACTGGCCAGAATCATATGGTATTGACTTACTTTGCCAATACAAAGAATTAAAGCCCTACGGGTTCCTCTAAGATGAGAATTAAAGACCTGAATAAAATTGAACGATTTATGAGAATACGACATACAACAGTGATTTCGGACATTGATATATCTGTCTTGTCATTGATTCTGACAGTTTGGAATATTTTAAAGTAAAACTTCAGCTGATAGTATTTTATTTGAATAGATTTATTTCAACAAAAAGTGTTTTATTGTACATTGTACGTAAGTATTGTATGTTGCAATTGTTTTCTGAATAAGATTGTGTGCATAGTGATGTATCGGTCGCTATGATGTGAAGTTACTGCTACTGAAAAATAACCTGGTGAAATTATTCGACTATTTATTCAAAAGACGTGCAATATGGTAGTTCATGATGAGTTCTTTCAAATCAATCCAAATCCTCGATTACGTATTTTGGTCCGTTATTTCGTTCATCCGTCCGTCTGTCTT